TAAGGTTTTATTCTACACTACGGTCAAAAAACGCAGCGGCAGAAAGTGGTTAGATGGAAATCTTGGACAATCTTTACATCTTTCCTTAGTCCAGGAAGACGCACCGTGACCAAAGATTTATGCTCAGATTAAAACACAAAAGAAACTGCAGCAGCAGAAAACCTCCATGAAAAAGGTCAACTTTACCTTGTACATGTTTTGAATGTCTGAAGATCCACTCTTCATCACATAATTACAATATTACAGTGGTACAGAGTCACTATAATGTGCACCATACTAATGTCACTTTGACAGTACTCCTCAGCTGCCACTCACACAAACACAAACGCACCTGGAAAACAGGCGCTCAACAACAAATGCAGATCCATAGCTTTTGTTTCCCAGCTGCTGAAACAAAGATGTCTTTCTATAATGGAGGTCCTGTTTGTGCAGATCAATGGTGACGTTCAGCTGCAGTGGAGACGCTGACCTTTGGAAGGATTAATACTCCAAGGTGTCACTTTTGGGTAATTGTCTGTGGATTAGATTTCTTGTCAGATTCACTTCCTTTCTCTCCCTCAAATTGGTAAAGACCGAGCGTTGTTATTATCATCACGTCTGCAATCAGAGCAGTGCCAGTAGACTGTGGACTGTGTAAAAAAAAACATGATGTAAACAAGGCCCTGTCATTTCAGCGTCACATGACCACAGACTTTGTTCTCCTTTTCTCCAAACCATCCAGAGAGAAGACAAAACACTGAACACAGACTCAAGTTGTTTATTTAGGATTGAAAAGATTATAATTAATGAAATATTCGGACTCATCAGATTGTTGACGGTTGTAGTCCCCACAATGGTCCTGTACCATCGTTCCCCATCGTCCTGCGGCTCTCTCAGTTCTCGGCTCAAGGTCTCAGTGACAATGATGAAGAGTGTGTTCTTCATCACGTTTGTGCAAAGAACAGAGGAAGCTTTCTGCTGTTTTGTCGTCATTCCTTCTTCAAGAAACTCATCTGCATTCAGCCTGGACACAGGGAGCAGTATGGTACAGTATGTGTACAGTATGTGTGTATCTGTATATGTGTTTGTGTATGTGTGTATCTGTATATGTGTATGTGTATGTGTGTATCTGTATATGTGTTTGTGTATGTCTGTATCTGTATATGTGTATGTGTGTGTGTGTGTATCTGTAAATGTGTATGTGTGTGTGTGTATCTGTATATGTGTTTGTGTGTGTGTGTATCTGTATATGTGTTTGTGTGTGTGTGTATCTGCATATGTGTATGTGTGTGTGTGTATCTGTATATGTGTATGTGTGTGTGTGTATCTGTATATGTGTGTGTGTGTATCTGTATATGTGTATGTGTGTGTGTGTATCTGTATATGTGTGTATCTGTATATGTGTATGTGTGTATCTGTATATGTGTTTGTGTGTGAGTGTATATGTGTATGTGTGTGTGTGTATATGTGTTTGTGTGCGTGTGTATCTGTATATGTGTATGTGTGTGTGTGTGTATCTGTATATGTGTATGTGTGTGTGTGTATCTGTATATGTGTATGTGTGTGTGTATCTGTATATGTGTTTGTGTGTGTGTGTATCTGTATATGTGTATGTGTGTGTGTGTATTTGTATATGTGTGTATCTGTATATGTGTATGTGTGTGTGTGTAGCTGTACGTGTTTGTGTGTGTGTGTATCTGTATATGTGTATGTGTGTGTGTGTATCTGTATATGTGTTTGTGTGTGTGTGTATCTGTATATGTGTTTGTGTGTGCGTGTGTATCTGTATATGTGTATGTGTGTATCTGTATATGTGTTTGTGTATGTGTGTATCTGTATATGTGTATGTGTGTGTATGTATGAATGTACTGTATGTGAATGTGTATGTGTGTGTGCGTGTGTCTGTGTGTGCGGTGTGAATGTGTTTGTGTGTATGTGTATGTTATGTATGTGTGTGTGTATATGTGTTTGTGTGTATTTGTATATATGTATGTGTGAGTGTTTGTACATATGTGTGTTGGCATGTATGTACAGTATGTGTATGTGTGTGTGTTCTTATCCATGTTGGAGATCTCCCTCTGTAAACACCTCAGGTGAACACACAGGAGAGACCATTACTGCAAAAACTTGTGAAACTTCAGGATTATTATTAAATTATTATTATTATTATTATTCTCCTTGTTTTGGGCAAATATAGGTTAATGATGTCACACACAGATGTTGGATTATTGATCTATGAGCCGCTGCTTTAAAGTGTTGGAACGCACTCCTCATAATCTTGGTTAATCTGAAAGGGTTAACACCGTGGGGGACACACATCTGTAGGCAGAGCGTTGCTGGTCCAAGAGTCCACTTATTTTTCCTCTTCCCCACGCCATGTTTGATGCTCAGTTGCCATGGTAACGGGAGGCGACCGTGGTGTACCTGACCTACATATGTGCGGTATGTACACAAAGCCATGTGATCCTCTGCGACAGTGATGAAGAGAAGGTGAGTGTGAGAAAATGGAAGCCCGCTTCGTGTCAATGAGTTCAGTCCTTCATAATAAGAAATAATTAAAAACTGTTGTAAATGTTAACCCTCTGGGCGCCACGGTTGACTAAAGTCGACAATATGCGGTACTGCTGTGTGTCAAAATTCATTAAAAACTCCCTGACAATGATTTACTCTGTTTTGCTATTTTGGTTTTGCTGACCCTTGAGTGTGGTACAATGTGAGTGGTGTTTGTGTGTTCATGTCCTAGTGATGTGTGTCGGTCAGCAAAAAAATATATATACATAATTCAGGAAAATCCATGATTGCTACCACCATACGAAGTCACCAGGGTTTCTCTAATTTACATAAAACCTCTATCTCTTTTCACTTTGAAATTATGTGTCAAAATTGAGCTTCTTAGGAAAAAATCTCTGGCGTCTAAAGGGTTAAAAGAGAAATCAGTTGTCCATTCCTGAACAACTTATCTGAACGATACCAAGGTGCTAATGATGACAAAATCTCCCAACAAACATATTCTAACAAGAGAAAATATAAAATACTTCATTAATATACTATCCTCTGCAGCTGTGGTCCTGATCATGAATCTACAGTCACCAGGTCGGATCGTCTTTTCTCCCATATCTAATTGACATGCATAACTTCATTCATTCATTTTCATCCCCTTTATTAGTCCATTTCTGGGTCGAGGAGGTGGCAATAAGAGCTGCCAAAGTGGGGTAAAGTGTCTTGCCCAGGGACACACTGACAGCAGACATCAGTGGGAACAGGTGACACGGGTTTACCAACTGAGACCTGCATTAGTTTCAGTTCTAGCATCTAAACTTGTCTTTCAAAACAACCAAAAAAGCTGCATAAGTTTCCCTCTAACACACTTTAGTTTGACCTTTTCCTCCTCTTCCTCCTCCTCCTCCTCCTCCTCCTCCTCCTCCTCCTGCTCGTTGCTAATAGAGATGTCCCAATGTGGGGTTATGAATCTAATATTTGTCTTTGTCTGAGCTCCTGGGACCATCTGCCCTGTTTTTAAAAAATCTGAAAAATTGAGGAAATTGGGCCGAGATGTTCTTTATCCGAGTGAATGTTTGTTATTGTCATTAACCTGGAAAGATCCCACACAAGGTTTGGAAAGGCCCTTCAGTTTGTTTATTATACTGCAAACTAGTCTCTTCCCTCAAGGGTGCGCATTTTATTAGTCCTCGGTAGTCCTCAGTAGTCCTCAGTAGTCCTCAGTAATCCTCTTTAGTCCTCAGTAGTCCTTGGTAGTCCTCGGTAGTCTTTGGTAGTCCTCAGTAGTTTTGGTAGTCCTCAGTAGTCCTCGGTAGTCCTTGGTAGTCCTTAGTAGTCCTTAGTAGTCCTCATTAGTCCTTGGTAGTCCTCAGTAGTCATTGGTAATCCTCAGTAGTCATTGGTAGTCCTCAGTAGTCCTCAGTAGTCCTTGGTAGTCCTCAGTAGTCTTTGGTAGTCCTCAGTAGTCTTTGGTAGTCCTCAGTAGTCCTTGGTAGTCCTCAGTAGTCTTTGGTAGTCCTCAGTAGTCTTTGGTAGTCCTCAGTAGTCCTTGGTAGTCCTCAGTAGTCCTTGGTAGTCCTCGGTAGTCTTTGGTAGTCCTCAGTAGTCATTGGTAGTCCTCAGTAGTCATTGGTAGTCCTCAGTAGTCATTGGTAGTCCTCAGTAGTCCTTGGTAGTCCTCAGTAGTCCTTGGTAGTCCTCAGTAGTCCTTGGTAGTCCTCAGTAGTCCTCAGTAGTCATTGGTAGTCCTCAGTAGTCATTGGTAGTCCTCAGTAGTCATTGGTAGTCCTCAGTAGTCATTGGTAGTCCTCAGTAGTCATTGGTAGTCCTCAGTAGTCTTTGGTAGTCCTTGGTAGTCCTTGGTAGTCCTCGGCTCCTCTGCTTCTTCCTCTGTTGAGTATTTTTGTAGTTAGATACAGTAAAAACATCTTTGTCTCGGTTCTGCTCTGAGGTTCTGAGACTTATCCTCAAACGGATCTCTTCATCGTAATGAGGTCCATTAACCCACAGATGCTCAGGATAGAGACTGTATTTAGTGAAACGTTTTAAAAGTATTGATAAACTGAACTGCAGATGGAAACTTGTTTGATCATATATTTACTAATGAAGATGGTACAACACTTTAAAACATGAAAGTAATTATATTAGTAGTAAAAGTAATATTTCTTCTTTAAATGTTCAATATGCGGATAACTAACTCGTCATGATGTGTGCAGGTGCATTGTGGGTGTTGTGGTTCTGTTTATGTCCACTACAGTCAGACAATGGAAGATAATAGTACATTCCTCCAGTTCCAGTTTTTCTACTCATCTGTTTTGTTTATTCTGCTCGTGTTCTCCGGATTCCGTGCCTCGTCCAATCCTCGGGTTTGTTCATTTATTTCCTCGCTCCTCTGCGTCCGGCCTGCTCCCTGCCTCCACTACACACAAAAAAACTGTCAAGTCGACTGCTCTGGGAGGTCTAGTGCTAATGACAATAATATATCAGTCAAACGTCAAATTAAAAACCCATCAAAAAGCCACATGCTCTTCTTCTTAGAACAGACAGAACTAAAGGCCCCTGCTGCTCCTGCCAACCCCTACTGCCCCCTGCTGTCCCTACCGCTCCCGCCGCTCCCTGCTGCCCCTGCCACCCCCTGCCCACTCCTGCCACCTCTTCCGCCCCTGCCGCCTTGCCACCCCCTGCTGCCCCTACCGCTCCAGCCGCTCCCTACTGCCCCTGCCGCCCCCTGCCCACCCCTGCCACCTCTTCCGCCCCTGCCGTCTTGCCGCTCCCTGTGCCCCCTGCCTGCCCCTGCCGCTCCTACTGCCCCTGCTGCCACCCCTGCTGTGATATCAGTGTCTCCATGCTGTGATAAGAGCCGGGGGATGAGGACTGAGCCTGAAGTGCACCGGTCCATTTGTCGGCGCTGATTGCAGAGTCTGAAAAGAGCCGGGATTAACCTGCTCACCTCGACCTGAGGCTGAGGAACTCTCCGAACCTCGGCTCAAAAACAACAGACAATTCTACCGTGAGCACTTCCAGCTCGGCCTCAGGCAACCAATCACAACCCACGCTGCCAAATACTCCGAGCCAGAGACCAATCAGAGGCTGTCATGAGGCCACAACACAATCGATTCATTTGTAGTGACAGACGGACCTCGAGCAAGACGTCGCTTCAAACACCGCTCACGTCACTTTGAAGAAAACACAGCGAGAAAGGACTGTTTTTAGATCCTTGTTTTTAAAATCCACTCAGGTGTCGGGCTTCCTCTAGTCTACGGAGATGTTATTGATACGTCTGGAATGTATTATTATATCTTCACTGTGGCATTTTACCTCAAACTCTCCACAAGTCTTAGGTTTGGTCGACGCCGCGGTTGCAAATATCATAAAGAATTGCTTTGAAAAAACGTGAAAAATGAAAATGTCAATGAAAAAACAATAATTTCAGAAAGATGACCGTCTTTTTGCCTCAAAGTAAAGGAAAGTGTCGTATTCTGCCCTGCTGCTCAAGATACACAGACTATTTGATGTGGCTATAGCAGACTTGGAGATTCTTATTCCGCATTTGTCTCCAGCAGCTTAGACCAGTGTTTGTCAACCAGTGGGCCGTGGCCTGTTAGAGTGCCGTGAGGTGGTGTTTGATGTTTCCTCTGGCATTGATCCACTATGTTGTGATAAGAAAATAATGTGAGAAGAGTAGAAAGACTTTTTCTAGATTGTTTGACCTCTATAGATGAGAATGCGGGGTCAGTGTTAAAGTTTCATGTTTGCATCAAGAGTTTTTTCTATGATAAAGATGTACCACGTCTCAAAAAGGTTGGGGAACACTGGGTCAGACTCACTACTCTCTCCAAACAAGTTGTAAAAGAGCAAATCCTGACTAGAACCAGGAAGTACCATCATATTAGTCCAGTCCTCAGGTCTCTGCTCTTGTGGCTCAGAGTCCAGACTTTAAAGCAGCTCTGTTTGTTTCAAGTCTCCTCATGGCCTCGCACCAAAGTTAGTGCCATTATGAACCAACTGGGACTCTGAGGAGCACAGGGGCCGGGCTCCTCCTGGGACTCTGAGGAGCACAGGGACCAGACTCCTGCTGGGACTCTGAGGAGCACAGGGACCAGACTCCTGCTGGGACTCTGAGGAGCACAGGGACGGTCCCAGAGTCAGGACTTAACATATGGAGGCAGCATTTTAGATTTATGCTAAAATCTTGAAAAATCTTCTTTGACAATGTTCAAATCCAAGTTAAAAACAACTTTTATCTTCACTCTTTCTAATGTGCTGTGATTATTTATGATTTGAATGCCTCGTTTTAATGTTTGTTTTAATGTTTTGTGAAGCACTTTGAGTTGTGCTATACAAAAACACTTTCCTTGTAACTGTCCATGGCTCATTTTGGCTTTTGCTAATGTATTTTTCTTTACTCATTTTACTTTGCAGATCAGTTGTCTTTGTAGAAATACAGTATATCGACAAACCTATTGTCTGTTTATAAATACATACAACAATGCAGTTATTAATCAGATTTTCTCCTTTACAGTTCAACAAACATAGTAAGGCCTGGAAAGAACTGTGTCACGCTCAGTTAAAGCCTGGTGCCATAAAACAAAAGCTCCGTCGCTGTGTTCCGAAAGTAATTATGGAAAGAGGCGTGAAAAAGACCGGATTTTCCCATCAGGCCGACGTACAGCGTTTGTGAAAATGGTCGGAGAGAATTGTAAATCCTCCTTTCTGTCTTGTGCCGCCACCTCTCAGACGTGGTCAGTGTTTGTGTGCATGCATTAAGGCTGTCGCTGGCCCTTATTTGCATTCCTACAAAAGCTGTGTGTAGCCAGGCGGAAATGTTCTCTCAGCCGGGGGAATCTACTCTGGATTGTAGCTTCAAGTGCGGACGGAGTTGGTATTTTACGTAAAAATTATGTAAATATTATGAGGAAAAGAGATTATTCCAGGGAGACTATTAATGCTCGACTGTGTGTTTAATAATGAAAAAATGCGACTTATAAATGTGTATACTTCACAATATGATCTTTTCTGTCAGAAAGAAGAAGAACAGAAGTCTTCCCACAATCTGACATGATTTTGGCATTTTTTTAACCTAAGACTAAACGAGGCCGAGTTGGGAGTGGGCTCTATAGACCCGTTTTATCCCAAGGTACGAGATATCATGAAATATTAGGTAGAAAAGCATCATGGGAGGTTGTCCACTGCGCAGAGCCCGGAAGGACCAGAGAAATGACCAACTGTGGGCACATTTTCTGCGAATCTTTTGGTGGCAAATGCGCAACTGATTTGAACACGCCGCCATCTTGGATCACCAGAGCTTGGGACGGACGGACTGTAGATCCTGGACTCAGACTGTAGAACGAGGATCGAGGCCACCAGCTGAAACAACATTCTGCAGACAAACATGAAGCTACAACATTTCTATCAATGTGTTTTATAGAGAATTAAACAAGCACAAAAATGTCCTCTCACATTCTTTTCTTTTCGCATTATCTCAAGACTGCAGAATGAAATGAAAATGTGTTTACAAAGTTCTTTAAACCACTGCATTCTTTTCATTTCTCAGGACAAACTCTGATCTTGAGCACTTCATTATCCTGAGTCTGAGTCTGGACGTGTTCAGTCTTTGATGACGCTGTAAACACGAGGGCTTTAATCCTGTAAATGTGGTGGTTTCAGAGTTGGAGAAGCTGAGTGTGATACAGATTAAAGATGAGACATTGAGCCTCAGTTAAACGTTTGTGGAATGAACTCAAATGTCACTTAGATCAGAACTGAGTCTGCGCCAAACCAGACGGATGGAGCGTGTGGAGAACAAACAAATACATCATTCTAAAAGTGACTGACAATAGAAATAAAGAATTTTTCCACAGTTGTGTGAGAGTCCAGCCTGATCCACTCAGAGACAGAAATATTTTTAGTAACATTATCAGATTACTCCAGGATCTCCTCCCTCTGGAGCCAGGACGATCCTGCTTCAATAAAGGTCAATAATATATAATAAAAATAATAAAAATAATAATATGCTATACTCACAGAAATCAGCAGGACCTGGAGGTGTTTCCACTGATGCTGCACTGGACGGAACACAAGCATTTACTTTGTCAAATGGAACAAAAGACACAGGATCAGGATTCAACATGTGTTTTAAATTGGAAGTGTTTAGCTCATACTCTGCACACTACAGTATACATATACATACTGTACACACTATACATACTGTATACTATACAAACTAACACACTGTATACTATACATACTGTACATAATGTATATATGACCACATTAGTCCAGTTCTCAGGTCTCTGCACTGGCTTCCTGTGGCTCAGAGAATAGACTTTAAAACAGCTCTGCTTGTTACAAGTCTCTCCATGGCCTCGCACCAAAGTACTTAAGCGACTTGTTAGTCCCATATGAACCAGCCCGGACTCTGAGGAGCACAGGAGGTGGCCTCTTATTGGTTCCAAGAGTCAGAACTAAACATGGGGAGGCAGCGTTTGAGATTTATGCAGCTAAAATCTGGAACAATCTTCCTGAAGATGTGAGGCTAGCATCTACTCTGGCACTTTTCAAATCAGGGTTAAAAACTGTTCTTTTTAGCTGTGCATACGGCTGAAGGACTTTATTGATACATTCTCTTTTTTAATGCATTGTGGTTATTTATTATTTTAATCCCGTGTGTGTTTTTAATGTTTTAAGGTTTTTTCATTACTTGTGATTTTATTCTGTTTTTAATGTATTTATTGTTTGTAAATGTAAATTTTGATGTTTCTGATTTGTCTGATATTATGTGGGTTGTGAGGCGCTTTGAGTGGCCTTGTGTTGGAAAGGCGCCATACAAATAAAGTTGATTGATTGATTGATATACTATACATACTGTACATACTATACATACTGTATACTATACATACTGTACACACTATTCATAGTGTTACTGTACATAATGTATACTATACATACTGTACACACTATGCATATGTGACAAGTCGAGGCGGCTATGCGCTCCTAAAATAATATAACATATAAAAGAAAGAAAAAGAGCCCAAAACAAAACAAAATGTGCACTAAGGCGCAGAGGTTTGTTAAATCCTAGAGGCAGGCGTTACGTTACAAGTTACTTTGGTTTATTTCAGTGAGCTGTATACAGCAGGTTGATCTGCAGGTTTCACACACTTCCTGTCACGATGGACTCAGGAAAAACACAGGAGATGATGCGAAAGAAACACAGGGAGAACAGAAGAATAAAAGGAGAAACAGCGGTGGGCCGCATGATGAAGATGAAGATGAAGGGATCTTGTTTTCATCCCACAGAGAGGAAATGTCAGTGTTGCATCAACAGTTACTGAGCAGCAAAAACTATATACTAGAATAAAATAAAATCTACAACATTAGCATAATCAAGGAACAAGTATGAAATCTCTAAGCCTCACTCTGACATATCTCAGAAGCCAAGCAGGGCAGATCTTGGTGATCTGTGATCTGTGATGGGAGACCACTGAGAAAATCACGTGCCATAGAGCAGCGTGAAAAGCGGATTGTTTCTCATTTTGATAAACTTTTAAAAGCGATGATTGTTTTTTTTTTAACAGAACAAAATCATCAATCATCAAAATGCTGATGTGTGATTGCCATTTTCAGGTAACAACGCACATCTGACTGTGCAGGTGCATTATGGGGCGGCAGGGGTCTGTGGCCCTGGCTCTTTATGGTTGTGCAGAAGTGCGTCACTATCTGGGTCTGTCTCCTGTGTTCGCACATCCACATTCTGCCTTGAGGCGTGTGCGGCACCGTGAGCTTCAGTCTAATTAAGAGCTGCTGATAACAGCCTCAGTCGTACGTCCTCTCGTCTCTGGTCCCAGGAGACATGTTGAGTTATTTCTCTTGTTAGAAGAAGGCAGCTTTGAAAATATCAGAGTTCACACAG